GTGAAATAAGCCACTCACAAAAAGGCAAATACTGTAGGATTCCACTTACGTGAGGTACTTAGAGCAGTCAAAATCATAGAGACAAAAGCAGAATTGGGGGGGAGGGTGTGTGAGAAGAGAATGAGGAGCTACTATTTAATGGGTATAGAGTTTCAGTTTTGCAAAATAATAAGAGTTCTGGAGATAGAAGGTGGTGATATACTAAGTATCACTGAACTGTACACTTAGAAATGGTTAAGATAGTAAATTTTGTTATATGTATTTTATCACAGTAAGAAAAAGTGGAAAAAATCCCTACATTTTCACAAAAGGGTATTTATTATTTGATTTCCTTATAGAAAATACCTACAATAGGCAAATTCATAGAGATGAAAGTGGATTGGATGTTACTGGGATTTAAGGTGAGGGGAGAAGAGGGAGTTATTTATTAACGAGTACGGAGCTTCTGTTTGGGGTGATGAAAAAGTTTTGGAGACAGATAATGGCGATGGTTGCACAACATTGTGATTGTACTTAGTGCCACTGAACTGAACACTTAAAAAATGGTTAAATGGTAAATTCTATAATGTATATTTTATCACGTTTTTTTTTAAACAAAATCTGTGCTCCTATTAAAAAAGAAAAACTAGACTCTACCCACTAAGAATATGCTAAATGCTAGTTATATACATTATATCTACACAATAAAACTTACTAAATAAGTGAATGGTTAAGTAAATGTTTAAGAAGTAATGCTTACAAAAGAGGCTGGCAAAAATATGGAGACATTAACATTAAAATGTTACCAGAAAAAAGCAAGCTACAGAACTATGTAAAGTGAATGATTCCAACCATTAAACAGGTACCCAGGAGGGGAGAAACAAGAATGAAATAAAGCAATAGTTAATAAAGGCTCTCTTTAGACACTGGAGCTAGAGATGACTGGGGTGTGTGAAGAAGGGAGCTTTCCTGTATTTCCCAAAATGTCTAAAAAGAGCATATATTGCTCTCACAGTTAAAATTACTTCTTTATTTTTTTAAGTACATGTTCAAGATGGTCTGGTTAGTCACTTGCTGAGGCCAGGAGAGGCATGGGTGCACTGGCAGCTCTGACCCCATAAGCTCTATGCAAGGCTGTCACAGTCCAGAAGTTCCAAACCACCAAGACCCCTCTACTCCCTGCTCTGACCAAACGCCTGAATAGCTCCCAAATGGCAGGATCGCCTACTGGTCTTATCACATCTTGGATGATGCTGCAGCACCTTTTTCACTTGACCATGGCCACCCCAGCACTGCACGGTCAGCAGGGGTTGGAGCTGAGCCAAGCTCTATATGGTCAGCATTTTCAAACAAACGCCTTACTCTGTGCTTCAGCAAGTCCAAATACAACTCCAATCAGATCAGGGCAATCTGCAACTCTTTGAATATTTACATGCAAAACTGTACATGATGACAACTAATTCAATTACGAAATGGGCAAAGGGTGTGAGTAGGCATATCCCAAAGGAAGATCTACAGATGGCCAGTATGAGCATGAAAAGATGGTTAATATCATCAGTCATTAGGAAAATGCAAATAAAAACTACAATGAGATGCTGCTTCTCATGCACTAAAGTTGATATAAAAATAATTTTTAAAAGGACCATAACAAGTGTTGAAGAGGATGTAGAGAAAATGAAAAGAAACTCTCATATACCACTAATGGAGATGTAAATTGGTGCACCTGCTGTGGAAAACAGTTTAGTGATTCCTCAAAAAGTTAGACGTGGAATTGTTGTACGACTCAGCAATTCCACTCCTAGGTATACATACCAAGAGAAGTGAAAATATGCTCAAAAACTTGTACATGAATTACCATAGCAGCACTAATCACAATTGCCAAAAGATGTAAATAACCCAAATGTCCATCAAGTGATTGAACAGATAAACAAAATGTGGTATATCCACACAATAGCATATTATTTAGCCATAAAACAAAATGAAGTACTGATACATGCTCCAACATGTTGGTTGTTAGGGAATGGGAAGAAGGGAGAATAGGCAATGACTGCTAACGTGTACAGGGTTTCTTTCAGGGGTGATGAAAATGTTTTGGAATTAAGATAGTGGTGATGGTTGCACAACTTCGTGAACACACTAAAAATACTGAACTGTATGCTTTAAAATGGTGAATTTTATGATATGTAAATTCTATCTAAAATATTAAGAGACATTCTACAAAATAATTAGCCACTCTTCTTCAAAAGTTTACAGTCATGAAGAACAAAAAGACCGAGGAACAGTCTCAGATTAAAAGAAACTAAGGAGACTGGACAACTAAGTGCAATGTGGGAAACTGGATTAGATCCTGGAACAGAAAAAAGGACATTACTGGGACAAGTGACAAAACATGAATAAAATCTACAGATTAGTTATTATTATTGTATTAATGTTAAATTTCTTGTTTAATTTTGATATGATTATGTAAAATGTTAACATTAGAGAAAGTTGGGTGAAGAGTATACAGCAAGTCTGTGAATTCTTTTTGCGAGTCTAAAATTATTTCAAAATAAAAAAGTTTTAAAAAGTGTATATGATGCAGTGACAAGTTTTTCTGTAAAGCACCATATAGTAAAAACTTTAGACTTTGTGGGCTACATGGTCTTTCAGGCAATGACTCAATTTTGCTGCCCAAGACAATATGTAAATTAATGAGTGTAGCTATGTTTCAATAAAAACCTTACTTATGGACACTGGAATGTGACTGTCCTATAACACAAAATATTATCCTTTTCTTGATTTATTTCCCACTATTTAAAAATGCAAAAAACACTCCAGCTCCCCCACCATTCAAAAACAGGCAGTGAGGCCAAATTTGGACCATAGTCTATAGACGGCAGACTCCCGCTCTTGGTCAGAATTTGCCCATGTGTGCTTCAATTTTTTTTTTAAAGTGCTTCCAATCAATGAAGTTTGGCAACACTAGATTGAACTAGGTTAGGGATTTTTTTTTTATTGCAGAATGTCTCGGTGCCTTTAATGTGGTACTATACACTGAGAATTTCCAAAAGGGATAATACTATAAAGTTTTTTCCAAACTTATTATTACCATAGAACACTTTTTTCAGAGGCACCTCTTCAGAATAGTGGCTTGAAAAACACACTATATAAATGTCAACTTGGTACTTTTTTTAAAAAAGAAATTTTCAGATTAAGAAGTTTTAAAAACACCACCACCACGTTAAAATTATTTTACACAGCACCTGGATGATAGATGAATAGGCATTTCACAAAATGTTTCTTCTTTAATTCTAGGAAACACACATAAGGCAGGAAGACAAACACAGACAGGAAGCTTTTTAGGGGTGGGGCAGGTCTGGAAGCATGGATCATAATATGGAATCTTTGCTCCACAGGACAACGTTAAGTGTTCTAACAGGTTTTGGAAAAGCAATCTGCTTGGCGTTTTATAAATCACAAAATAAGGAGCTTTGATGTTTGACTAGAAAACTATTAAGATGCTCTAGAAGCACTCTCTGAAGATTACCCATGAAGATGAACTGGCTAGTCAAGTTCAAACAAGGACTGGTTTTAAATGTTGGATGTAATGTTAGCTGTTAGACTGCAAAATTCTCTCGGTAAACACACCCTCTATACAACACAATGCTGGAAAGAGGATTAAGGATTTATGTCTAAGGTAGAAAGGCTGGTCTGAAAACCCTCCTGACTGAGACTCCTCAATTTTGTGATCCAGAGTTCACTGGCTTCTTCTGATCAAACACAAAGTCTTCAGAGGCATTTCCAAGCTGTTCTATGAAAAGAAGCTACAAACCAGTGGGCTGGGGACCCTGCTCGGTTATTCATTCAACACTTTAAGGAACTCTTGTATAGGCCGTTCCAAAGTCCTTGAAAAGGACAATCCGCAGAACAACCAGGAAGAGACTACATAAGATACATTCAGATCCACTGGCCCTACTTCCACAAGATGTAGGCTGAAGTGTCAAGGAGAGGACAGAAAAAGTCAGTACGCGCCAGAAAGATTCAAAGTAACTCCTCAGAATCAGACGCTTTCAAGTTGGAAAGGGCTGCCATCTAACACCTGAATTCCTCCTTCAACAAGGAGTTCACTACCTTTTGGGGCAACTTCATTGCTGGTCACCTCTGACCGGCATTAAATTCTTCTATGAAATCCTAATTTTGCCTTCCTGTAGAATCCACCTATTTGAAAGAGTGGAAGCCCTCTTCACCATATCAACTTTTTCAATTTTTAAAGAGAGTTCCCTTCATTTGCTCTTTTCTAGAATAAACATCCCAATTCTTTAGAAGATTCTGAATGGGCTCCAGCTTCCTCAAAGCAAATCTAGTACTCAAAGCAGGAAAGCACTTCAGATCAACTGGCTTCAAACATCAGCATGTATAGGCGTACGTTCAAAGCGCCGTTTCCCAGGTTCCAACCCAGATTCTAAAAAACGAGGTCTTATTTGCGTTCCTACGGTAAAGCATGCATTTCCATGGCATTTCAAAGCAGATGGTGCGAGAACGGTAACTTGAGAAACACTGCCGTTTTACAAATGAGGAAACTGAGGCCCAGCACAGGAATAGGATTTGGCCCAGAATGCACAAATGGTGGCGAAGTCTCGAACCCGCGTCACTTACTCCCCAAGCCCAACTCTGTTTATCAAGCTTCCCGGCCTTGGCTTCTCCATTCAGGGTAAACTCATTAAAAGCATATGAGAGGCCGCCTCGAGCCAGGGACAGAAAGAGTTAGAGTGAGTCCTTGCCTGAAAAGGAGAGCTCGTGGGGAGCCTTTTCCCTTCTCAGGGCCTCAGTTTCCCCAAACTGTAGTCACGGGACAGGAGACTATACACCACCAGCCCGACCTCTCTTCTTAAGGGCCCGGGGCAGAACCAGGCGTGTTGTTTCTGCGACCCTGGAATCAAGTGTCGCAGCCTGTGGGCCCCGTGAAGGAGGAACCCGGTCCCTCGCCACTCAACCTCGATTGACCTACCTGCTCCCCCCATCCCCACCAACCCCTCACGTACCTGCAGCTGCTCAGCTAAGAAGGCCGAGGCCGACCCACCCTCTCGGTACGTCGACCGCTCCTCCGCCAGTCCGTCCGCCCCGTCAGTCTCTTCGGCCGGACCTCTGATCCCTCCTACGCGGACTCCGATCGCCTGACGCAACCCGCCCTCTCTGAGGTACTTCCGATCTCAACCGGAAAAGGTTGGTCCGCTGCGCCGTCCTCCGGACCACATCCTTGGCTCTAAGGTTCCGCCTGCGAGTAGGAATCTCAGGAACGTCGGGGCTTAGCTGTCAGCTTTTCAAAGATCCTTGATTAGGGCAGGGAAAATATCAGGTAAGCGTGGAAGATCCTGTTGCACCAGAATGTAAGGATGGGGATCCGAATGATGGTAATATGTCAGAAGACTCAGGAGCTAACTTGAAGGAGATCCCACTGGCCAAATCAGGGCAACGTGAGCATCAAAATAGGTCGTGATAGCAACAGTTTGACTAATTGAACAAAATGGTAACCCATGAGTCTTTAATGATATAAATAAAGAAGTGGGTAAATAAATGGGGAGAGTGACAACTAACATGATGGAGTAAACATGAAAATCAATAATAAGTGGTAAAACTAGAGGAACAGGATGTTTTACATATTAAAATTGTCTCCCATAAGTTACTTATAATTACAAAGGCAAAATAGTATTTCTGCAGAGGTATAACTTCACAGAACAAGTGAATCAAAGTAATCAAAGTTAACATCACCAGTTATAGGTCAAGTGGAGATCATGTGCCTCCTAATAAGGTGCACTGAGGATACACCATATCTTCTGTGACATTTATATCCAAAATGCATAAACCAAATCTCACGAGGAAGCATGAAGTAAACCGAAATCGAGGGACACTCTACAAAATAACTATCAGTATCATGAAAGACGTGTAAAGGCTGAGGAACTGTTCTAGTGTGTGATTCCAAATTGGATCCTGGAGTGGGGGAGGGGAGAGAGAATAGGTATAATGGACAATATTGGGACTTGTGATGAAATTTGAATATGGATTGTGGATTAGCATATTATATCAATGGTAAATTTTCTAAGATTGATCATTGTATTGTGGTTATGTTACGAAAATGTCCTTGTTCTTAGGAAATATTCACTGAAGTATTTAGGGGTAAAAGGGCACAATGTCTCCAACTTAATTTCAAATGGCTCAGAAAAAGATGTGCGCACGTGTGTGGGTGTGTGTGTAGAGAGAGAGAGAGAGAGAGGGAAAGAGGGAGAGAATGAGAGAGTACTCAAGGGAGAATGATTAAACAATGAGGCAAAATGTAAACAAGTGGTGAGTCTAGGTTAAGGGTATATGGGAGTTCCTTACATAATTTTTGCAACTTTTCTTTAAGTTTGAAATGATATAAAAATTCAAATTTACTCCCCAAATAGAGGAAGTGCCTAGGTCCTAGCCAATTCACTTGTATTCATTTATGTGCTAGGCACTGATGATGCAATGAGACAAAATCTTTGCTTTCATGCCTAGAGGGAAAAATATTAGACATGCAATCACAAAACTAATGGACTACTTATCTTTTTAAAAAAACTTCTCTTCTCTTGAAAATAATAATAACTCACCTTTACTGAGCTTAACTGAGCACACTCCACACAATGGTTCATTTGATCCTCATAGCATCCTTATGAAGGGTTTCGGTGATTATCTCCATTTTACAAATAGGTAAAGGAAAACTTGTAAAAGTTTACTCACTTTTAACACTTAATTAAATTTTCAAATCACACATTGATAGATGGTGAAGCTACAATTTGCCCCAAGTAAGGTGTTCTCTGGAATCCTTGACACCCACCTTTATTGTTTCATTAACCCAACAAACATTTATTAGGTACCTACGATTATCTCAGGGGTTGTATTAAGGGTTGGTTCTGAAGCTACTACATGAAATATACTTGTAGATAAAACTCCTCACCTGCTAGCTCCTCCTCAGGTTCCTGTGGCCAGGGAGTAACACAAGGTGTGTTTCCAGTCACACAAACGTTGATTTGAGTCCAGGCTCTGAGAAAAAGAAAAGTCATCTCTGATGTCCAGTCCAGGAGCTGGTCTGGCACTAGCAGGTAGGTCTTAGTGTTCTGAAAAATGTCACAGAACATCATCAGACAAGGCAACTCTGTGACTATAATGAATCAAGACAATAACAAGACCTTTCCATAATCATGTCTGAACCAGACAAAATGTGAACATTGTGCAAACTGCAAAAATGACCAAATAGTTACCTATCCTGGCTTATGTGGAGATTGCTGCTTATTTACCAATGTAGCTTTAGTCTCAGCCTAATCTTCCCTCCTTCTAGATAAGATTTATCAAGATACCCAATCATAGACAGTTCCAGTCCAGATCAAAACTCTGCTTCCTAACCCTCCCCCAAATTAAATCATAAATGTTTTTTCTAACTCTCTGTTACTGAGATGCTTCATCATTCCTCGTGGTTTTCATCCTCTCCACCCGCCACTGTAACAAGTAACAAACCCAATTTGTTCAACCACGGGTGTGTTCCTGGAGGTCTTTAATTGGAGGGCCTTGTAAGTGGCCATGCTCACTAGCTATGCTACTTTAGACAGCAGCTTCTCTTACAAAAGTCTCTGTTACCCCATCTGGTAAAAGGAAGAGATTTATTCCTAACTGAGATGGTTGAGAAGGTTTAGCACTGAGTTAGCGCTCAGTATGCTTTAAAAAATTATTGCTTGATACTCCCCTGGCAGGGGAGATACCGTGATCACAGAGGTGGTTTTTGCAGGGCGAGGCTTACCCACTGCGCTCTAGATGTGCTGACCCCTGCGATTTCCCCAAATGTGGGAAACTCGACTGCAGAATTTGTGGTGGTGAGGTTGGGGGTGAACTGCGTTCGCGCTCTCCCTGGGGAAAATAAATTCACTCCTTGAGCTATTACCTCCTTCAAGTCAGAGAGTGCTATCATTATGAAAAGACACTGAAGCCATAAGCTTCAGTTAAGACAAACTTGCTGATTGTACTCCCCTTTGCTCCTTTTGTTGGGTTTATAAGGCAGACTAAAGGCAAGAGTTCAACTTTTCCTTCATCAGAAATAAGATCATTCTCATGCTCTCTTCTAGAAAGAGAGAACCATGTTCCTGAAGCTTTAACGTTAGGGAACTAGCACTGTTTATTTCTTCACGTTCTTGTTATTAAAAACGTTCCCAGGAAATAACAGAACTGGAACTAAGAAACTTGAAGAACTTCAGCTTCCAAAGTATATCAAGTAATATCTTCTCTGCCTTAGCACACTAAGGCACTTACAGATGTCAGGAGCCCTATTGGTGGTGTTCGCACATATCCTGCTAGAACCCAGCATGGATTTCATTTTATTTAATGTCTGCAACAAATTGTGCTGGGTTAAAAAATAAATTCCAGTGGGAAAGAATAAAATAACTAGACATGTTCTGATTTCTTTCTCTGATTACTCTGAGCATCTGAAGGATTTCCATTTAAACACCTTCCTCCTCCCTCACTCCCAATTACTCCTCTAATGCTAATACTAATAATGACAGCTAATATTTATTGAATGTTTATTAATGTGCCATGGAGCTTTATGCAATTTAACCCTCACCCCAAATTGTGAAGCAGATATTACATATGAGGAGTAAGAGGCCCAGAGAAGTTACGCAACATTCTCAGGGCCACACAGCTGGTAAGAATCAGTCTCAAGTTTCGAATCTGCCTGCAAAACCTGCTCCTGTTGAAATGCTGTTTGCCACCTGGCCCAGAGAGTGGGGTCTGTGAAGGGATGGAGGAAGGGATGGGGCTGGAAAGGAAGGAAAGGTCTGGGGAAGGAGGCTGTGAGAGTCCATGCAGAGGCATTCAGATCTTCTCCAGAGTGCAGAGAGTGGTAGAGATGAGAAGCACAAGACAGGTAGGAGGCCATTGCAGAGCGCCAGAGGGAACAGGGACCTGAGTCAAGGGTCTGGGGGGAGAGAAAGGTTAATAGCAGGAAAGGGCAAGTTACTGTGTGAGTGTGATTTAAAGACCTGACGCCTCAGGTGTATATCTGCCAAGTGAGGAGAGACAAGGAATCTGGGGGACCTTCTGGCCTATTTGCTCTGTTAAGACCCACAGGTTCCTGCCCTTCCCTGCACCTGTTTTCTCCCCTGTTCAATGAAGGGAGAAAAGATCCCAGGAACCAGCCCAGCTCTGGCAGGTGGTGAGGAGGTGGCATCAGTTTTTCCTCCAGTCTCCCCACCACACATGGGGTTGAAGCAGGTGTGGTGAGGTACCTCAGTAACAGAGTGTTAGAAAGGACATTTTGGATTTGGGCTCGTGTTAGGTAATTTGAGGGAATTTGATCTGGGCTCTTTCCACCTCCACCCCACCCCACGCTGGGGTAAGTTTGTCCTGTTGGGTAGAGGAAGCTAAGAGAAGAAGACCATGTTTGCAGACAGAGGGGAGAATAAGCCGGAGGAAGCACCCCCAGATCCTCCTCAATGCCAGCCCTTCCCTGGAAGAGGTGAGCCAGTGAGGGGCGTGGCCTCATTGGTTACCCAACCTGGGGCAAATGTGAAAATCCTTGCTGTGCACCTTCAGGCATGTTACCTAACCCCTGGACCTCAGGTTCCTCTCCTTCTTTGTGCGTGGGTCCTAAGGTTAGGCTGAAGCCCACTGCCATCAAGCTTCCCGCCCCAGGACAGCTCAGGGTCCATTGATTCTACTCTGACTGGGACCTAGCCCAGGGCACTGTTCACATGGTGGCCCTGCTGACCAAGGACAGGGTCTCACTTGAGTCAGGAGCAGAGTGAAGCCACCAATGAATGCATAAATAACTGGAACAAGTTATTTCCATGGTATGTGACTTCCTAGATTTGGGTCTGGATAGTATTATTTGTTTAGAGACATGGCCACTAGGTGATATCAGGGCCATATTCTGTAATTTTCTAAGAGCTGGGCCTGCTCTTAGGCTTTTCCCAGAGGATTCTCGGATATTCCCAACACAGATAGGGCATGGAGAAAAATCTGGGAAACCAGAGAAGGGGAAAACTAGTGAAGGAGAGGAAAATCTGGAAGGCGCTAAACATTTATGGGGCCCAACCCCTGGGTAATGTGAGGAGGGAGGCAGGGCGTTCCTTGAGGAGCCTGTCTCTGCCCTGCACCTATGG